GAATCTTTCCAATGCTTAACCGCTATAGCCTGGTGGTATGACTTAGGAATGTCTTTAGAGGACAGAACAACAGAAAATGAGTTATGACTAGAGAAGAAACCATAGCAGTTAGGTGAGCAAGAAATACGCGAAGATCAACGTAAAGGAACAAGTGAAGGCAAGTTAACAGGATGAAAAGAGGGACTTACAGTAGTGATGGGTGGAGAAGGATGATCAATCACTGGTGCTAGAGGTGGAGGAGGTATAGGCATTGAGTGAACTAGATGTTTCCTGAAATAAACCTGCAATTGTCGAGGACTGAGAGGAGGATCACCTGCAGAACCAAAATGATGTAGGCAATTTACTAATGTGCTCAAAGAAGGAAAGATTCTCAAGAAGAATGACATTATAGGATATGCGTAGTCGATGGACCTTGGGATCATAACAAAGAAACCCCTTGTGTTCCATACTATATCCTATGAATGCACGCATAGCTGATTGAGCAGTTAGCTTTATGTGTTCATGGGGAGGGAGATGGCCAAAGCAGACAACCAAAGACACGAAGCATGGACAAATTAAATGAACGATGAAACAAAGATTGAAAGGGAGATGAGTTTCCAAGAATAGAGGTAGGAAGAATATTAATAAGGTATATAGCAGTGCGGGTCGCCTCCGCCCATAAGGTAATGGGAACATGAGAGTCTTGTAATAGAGATCTCACCATACTAGCAATGTGATGGTTCTTGCACTCAGATACCCCATTTTGTTGAGGTGTACCTAGACCAAGACCTTTAGGACTGAATGCCATGTTGCTTGAGATAGGTTTGGAATTCACCATCCTCACCATCAAAATACTCTCCCTCTGAATCAGACCTCAAGATGCTTATAGCACTTTTAAATCGGGTCATAATCATGGCATGAAAATTCTTAAATGTAAGAAAAACTTCTGATTTCTTGCAAAGAAAATAAACCCACGTGTATCTAGTGCAATCATCAATAAATAACACAAAATATTTATAACCCAAGCATGAAATAACAGGAGACAACCAAACATCACTATGAATGAGGTAAAAAGGTGTAGAGCATGTTTAGTAGAAGATGGAAAAGGCAAAATATGACTTTTACTATGGCAGCAATGTAAGCAAGATTTATCAACATTTTTAAATGAAAAAACAATCATAGGAAAATAACCAGAAGAAAACAAATAGTCTAAGTTTTTAGAATGACTGTGGCCCAAGAGTCTATGCCATAAGTGCCACTCATTATTACAAGAAGTATAGGAGAAACTAGAAGTAGTACACAACAAACAAGAAACTGATGAAGCTCTCTTATTCTCAAATTCCGGGGCAAATAGCCTCCCAAGCCTACGCCCCTTCCCTTTCAGCTCCCCAATGTGTTGGTCTTGGATAAAACAACCATCACGAGAAAACAGGACACTATTGATGTCATCAACAAGTTGTCCAATAGAAATAAGACTAGTAGTCAACTCAGGCACAAAAAAGGTTTTGGGGAGACTCAAGGGAGTAGACTGAGGGTGGACAGAAACAAATCATCACAACCACATATAGGAAGAGAATCAACGTTAGCAGTAACAATGTGACTAGCAGAAGTGTAAAGTTTAGAAGACTAACTAAAGGAAGCCCCAGTCATATGGTTTGAGGCCCTAGAGTCAATAATCCACATATGTGAGGGGAAGAACACAAGTAAGCAGACTTACCAGCCAGCCCGATAGTAGAAAAAGCAAAGGAAATACCTGAAGATATAAGCTCACGGATCATATCTTCAGTCAAAGTGCCTTGTGAATAGAAGTAAATCAGTCCTCTAAAACTGATATAAACTTGATTAAAAATAGAGAAGAAAGTGGAAGAAAGGTAGAAGACAACAGAACAAAAGAAGAAGATGGAGAAAAGAAGAGGAAGAAGAAGAAGAGTTTGATAATCTCCTCCCTCACTAATCCTTTTGTTAACCTTCATTTTCTAAGTTAATTACAAGTATGCCCTTAAGTGGGCAGCCAGCTAAGCAAGAACTTAAAATAAACTTATAAAAAGAAGTAATAGGCCCATTAACAAACAAAATAAATAACACACTACATAAATAAAAGAATAGATACTAGGGCCCATTCGGCCCAGTCTCTCTACATGAATTAGTTTTGTGAGATGGTGGGGAGGAAGAAGTATCAATTGGTTCAACTGAAGCTTGATAAGATGTTGTCCTTTCTTGGGAGGCCTAGTTGGGCATTCCACAATAATATGTCCCTGTTGTTTATAGTAGGTGCAAAAATTTTTCTTCTTGCAGTAAGATGCCACATACCCAAATTCCTTGTACTCATAGCACTACATCTTCGAAAAATCCTTCTCCCCTTTTGTTTGGTAGCTACAAAAACAGCATCTATTCCATGTTCTTTCTTCTAATCAAGAGAGGACAGAGTAAAGAGCTGAGTTTCCTCTCTTAATAACTCTCTAAGAATCATGTCAAGATTGGGTGCAGGCTCTCCACTGAGTATATTTGATCGCACCGGTTCATAATCTGGTCTAAGGCGCATAAAAAAATGCATAATTTTCCTCTTGCCAAAGTGTTTCTTCATAGATTTCACATACCAAGCTGTAGATAGATCTCCAAAGTGAACCAACTCATATTCAGTCCAAAGGTTCTTGAAACCAGCATAATACTCTTGAATTTGTTTCTCCCCTTGAGCATACAAAAATATATCTACCTCAATTTGATATTGCCTAGACATGTTTGATTGTTGATACACCTTTTCAAGATATTCAAACACGTCATGGGTAGATTTGAGTCCCCTCATTGGGATACTAACAGCCATTGTGACAGATCCAAGGATCCAAGACATAACCTATGCATTCTCGATTGTTTCAGTCCTTTGACATCACTGGCATCAAGCATGGCTATAGAACCATCAATATAGCCCCACAATCCTTTCCCTTTAACAAAATATTGGAAGTGAAACTTCCAAAGTGCATAGTTGCTTCCATCAAATTTTACTGAAATGATTTCACTCTTTTCAAGTCCCATAGTGAACAAAACACAGAAGAAACGGCTGATTGTATAAACACAGGAACCAATCTGGAAGAGTTTAAAAGAGAAGAAATAAAGCCTCTTACAGTTGAAGGAAGATGTCCAGAACACAGCAAGACTGAGATCTGAAATCGCAGTCTAGAAAGGAAAGAAAAGTTGCTGCTGCCCAGAAGAGATGGAGAGATCTCCTTCAACCCTTGTCCAAAGCTGATGGGACTTTCTGAATATGAAGAACAGGACCAGGCGACACTTCCTCCGAAGTTTTATCATGAACTTAAGTATTTCAAGAGAGATCTAATAAGATTTCTCTTGCTGGTTGCGCAGAACAGAGAAAACTGGTTCTTGGATTGAACAAAACAGTCCAGAACCAATCGCAAGGGGAAAGAAAACCCAAGCAATCTGAAAATGTTGAAGATGAATCAGAGCATAACCCGCTCTGATACCATGTTAACCTGAGAGAGAAGCCAGCAAGAGAGAGCAAAACAACTCCAAAGCTGTTAGGGCTGTTCTGAATGGTCGATCCAACCCAGAAAAGATAAATTTATATTAAAACGTAAGTGGACAAGATTGTCCTTACAAAAGAAATAAAGAGACAAAGTTGTACAAGGCAGTACACTAATACACACGCCTAATAATAGACAACAAAGAGAGTAAAAGTACAAAACTACCCTCCATCTTATCTACACTAGGAACCCTAGAAGTGATTTGGTTCCTAGATTTTCTTCTATTCCTCTCTTTTCTCTGATATTCTCTTATAAGTTTTCTGAGTTTAGCCATCAACAACAATCCAAGACATGGGAAAAAGCCATCAAATGATCAAAATCCATCATTCAACATCAAATAAAGGGCTAATTGCTCTTGGGTAAGTCTTCTCTCATTGTCCTTTAATTCTCAACTTACACATACTTTCTCTAGATAAAGAAACTTCTGTCTCTAAATTATCACATCAATACAGTTTTCAAAAATTTCCACCAAAAGCCTTAGTTTTCTAAAGTTCTAATTTTAGGAATTCTCATTCTTTTCTCCAAACTATCTTAGAACTCCTCCAATATCAGATACCTTCTTTAGTCATGGCACTTATCAAACCAGGGCAAGGAAATCAATCCACTGGTACCCGAGTACAATAGGATAAACAATTAATCATCCCTCCTGAAGAATCAATCAAAAGTCATTTAGTAACTCTTGTATGAGGAAGAATCAATCATGAGCAAGATCCAGTATGGCTATCAAAAAAAAGGTCAAGCTCCAGTACTGAAACTGGGGCTAAAGAACCAACTGATGGTAGCTCAGTTGGTGGGATCTCCAGCTGTTTATAGCAGAGACTTGGGATCAAATCTCGCTGCCACCAGGGTCTGGGATGTTAAGGGTATGGGGATGGGCTACCCCCGTTGTGTAACCTCAAGAACACACAAGTACCAAAAATAAAAAACTGGGGCTGAGGCTACCATGTGCCAGCCTCTGGAAAAATCAAGTGAAATAACCTGAAATTCCTCCCTAGTTAAAATCCAATGAGCAACCTTGATAGTCATTGACAGTCACCAAGTCAATAGCAACTTCGGGAATGGTAGCATTCCTCCCACTTCAGAAGGGAGAACAGTATCAAACAGTCTAAGGAAATGTTACTGACACTTATTGATCTTCCAGAACATATTTCTAGCAATGAATAAAAGACCGATATAATGCTACTAGGGTGAAGGCATAGGGTACATGTTGGAAAACGTGGGGTTACTGGTTCAGATCTGAAAATAGAATTGTATATATTCCTAGGATTGTGGAAGGATTGATTTAGAAAGTTTTTTCTTTCTATTTCTTTCTTTCTATTTTTCTACTTTCTATTTTCTCTTCTTTCTATTTTTTCTTCTTTCTATTTTTCTTTTCTTTATATTTTTCTTTCTTTCTATTTATTGCAGCAACTTACTGTATAAATATGCCCATTGGCAATAGAATGAAACATATCAGTATTCTACCATTCCAAAACAGTACATTACCTCAATGCCGGTCAACGTCGCAAAAAGGCCTCTACCCGGTAAACTCTCAAAACTTTCAACCGAAACAGAAGGAAGGTCTTTGCCTATACTGTGGTCTACAACAGCTCTGCAATAAACATAAAAGTAATGTCTACTTTAGAAGTGAAAACAAAGTTTAATATTATGATGTTTGGCATCATGTATGTAAGCAAACAGACAAATATATCAAAAAAAGAGCAAGGAAAAGAGCACTCATTATTCTAGAACATTTACAAATATTGGAAGGCCTATATGATAATTTACTGGTTGAGATTTATCTATACAAAAAGAGAACTACTAAGAAATTCCATAATAGGATAAGCTCCAAGTAATACTTTTTACCAAAATACGAAATAAAAGAGACACAAGAAATCTTTTTTTTTACCACTGACAAGTGAGATCTTTACTAGAAGACGCAGTTACAAGGTATGTCGAGAAAAGAAAATATATAAATAAATACAGACACATGTCAAGACCAACATCAACCTTGTACCAAAGATGCCTCCTTCAGCTAGGTCTCCCTTGCCACCAAACAAGGGCTTGCACCTAAACAAGCCAAAAAAGAAGACCCAACAATCACAAATGCCTCCAAAAACCAAGATTATCATCCTTGTTTATTCATCATTAAGAAACCCTTCCATCTCATAGTCTCATAGCCCCTCTCTTTTATTTTGTTTTGTTTTTTTTATTAAGGCAAGGTATTGTATTAAAAAACAAAAAAGATTTACATCCCCAAATTCAAAGAGGTTGTGCCACCATCACCTCCGACTCTCCGACCATACAAAAGGTAAAGTTTAAAAATTACAAAAAAGTGCATCAGTATTCAAAAAAAGAGTTGTTATAGATTGAGAAGCATCTGTGCACTGCTACCCAAGAATGAATTCTGCCCCATAAGTCCTCAACAACTTCCTCTTCTATCTTTCCAATATCTTCAAAAATTCTGGCATTTCTTTCCAACCACACCATCTAAAAAATTGCCATAGGAAATATTCCTCACACCACTTTTCCTTTTCTGTTCAGACCTTTTAACTGCCAACTTGACAAAAACTCCATCAAGGACTTCAGGAAACACAAATATAGCCCAAAATGTCTAACACTTCTGTCCACAGATTTCTAAGAAATGCGCAATGCAAAAACAAGTGATCAACAGTTTCTACATCCTCATTACAAAAAATACAATTAGTATCACCAATCAAGCAACCCCTCTTTAATCAAGTTGTCCCTGCTTAAACACCTGTTAAGAGAAGCAGTCCAAACAAAGGAAGCAACAATGGTAGGTGCAGCTCTACACAATATACTTGCCCATGGGAAATTCCATTCCCCCTCTCCACCAGTTTTCTGTAAAAGGATTTAACAGAAAACATACCATCTCATAGATGCCTCTCCATCAATGTGTTCTTAAGCTAATGCTTATCATATTGAGTTACCACACTCTTCAGTCCACCACTCCACCTTCAAACTTCAGCTATTTCCTTACCATCTCACTACTACAAAAAAGAAATAGAAAAAGAACAAATACACCAAGTTCTATTATTCTGTTTGACCATCTTGCTAATGATTGCCTCATCCACTACCTTCTTCTCCAGGTATATTTTTCCATCTAGAGTTCTCTTCACCTGTTCCAACCAATCCATCTTTCAAACATGAAAATCTTTTGACACGTGAACAAGATGGAACTTGCTTGACTCTCTTACTTTCTTCAATGTCTTTGGAACAACATCGTCCCTTTCCTTGATCTCAGACTTCCTTCATCAACCTAAATCAACTCCAAGCCTTCCAACTAGGACTTCAAATCTTAAACACTCTTCTCGAATTTCTGGCCCACCACTCTCTTAACTTCTACCCACTTCCTCAAATTGACTACTTGCTTCCAACCTCTTTTTTTATCAATAACCACATTTCATTAATTAATCACAAAAATAATTACAAGGAGGAAGATAAACTTTCTTATCTTCCAACTGGAGCTTGAGCTCCCAAGAACAGAAAAAGGAAAAAATTACACTTGTGCCCAAAACATTAACTCCCTCTCAAATCCTTGCTTAGCTAACCCATCACCAAAAGAGTTAGCTGATCTTTTCACCTAGCTGGTCTTAATTTCCATCTCTTGAACCAGCCACCTAAATCTCCTCTCATTATTGTACATCCATAACCTGCTATTTTCTTTATTCAGCCACCCTACCACCACCTCCTAGTCCCCTTAAATGATGAGTTTTCTTATATTCATCTCCTTAGCTCTTTGGACTCCTTCCAGAACTGCAAAGATCTCATCCCTAAGAGAGTCGCCCACTCCAATTGGGCCTGAAAACATGGCTGAAACAAACCCATTCTCATCCCTAAACACACCTCCAATCCCCGACTGTCCAGGATTCCCCCAACTACTCCCATCAAAGTTTAGATTTAAAAAACCGGCCGGTGGGGGGGTCCAAGACACGCTCAATACTGTTTTGGGCTGGGTTCAATTAGCAATCTCACCCCACTTCCTCAATAAATCATCCACTGTAAAGTCTGTAAACAGCTATGAAGATTTCAACCACTGTACTACCCTTATATGGATCAGTTCTCTCAATTCTTCGATGTCTCTCTCTACTTCAGAGAAGATCTTGGAATTTCTTTCCTCCTACAAAGCCCAACATACTGCAGCCCTCAAGCATATCCACATGGTCCTTCCCTTTTTCATACGGCACCTAAAGAAGGAAGGGGAAAAAAGGCTTTGCAAATTTGATGGAGGATTCCATCTACCCCTAAAGAGGGATAATTCCCAAACTCAAATGGACTTAGCAAACTGGCAAGTCGCCAATAGATGAAAACCAGTCTCCCCATCCACTTTACAGAGAACACACCAATTAGAGGATAAACATGTCTTGGGTCTCTTCTTTTAGAGCATATCACCAGTATTGATTCTTTCCAGAAAAGCTTCCTAGCAAAAACTACCAACTCTAGGGGGAATTGGTCCGCACCAAACCTCATTAACCGGGAAGGGAGGGGGAACAGGACTAGGGGGCCGACTTAGTACTTTGAAAAAAGAGGCACAAGAAAATGAGCCAGTGGGGGTGGGGGTCCAAATTCTAGAATCCAGCTTAGTAGGGTCCAAGAAAACATTATCAAGGATACCAAGGAGGATCAAGATACTATCCAAGTCTGTATCTCTCACAGCCCTTCTCAAACCCAAATTCCACCCAAACCCAGAAGATGAAAATGAAGGGGTAATGAAAGAAGAAACTGGCTCATTCTTTAATTCAGAAAGAGCATACAAAGAAGGAAACAAGTCCTTAAGAGGGGCATTCCCCACCCAGATTTGTTCCCATAATTTTATGGAGTTACCTGAGTTCAAATCATACCTGATGAGAGGGAAGAAAGTTGGAAGCAGATCGTGAATGGCTTTCCAAGGTGACGCACTTGTGGTCTTAGCTCGGATCCCAGCATCCCATCCATTTTGCTCCAGCCATGTATGCTTACCACTACTTTAGCCCATAGTCTCTCCTTTTCTATTGGGAGTCTCCACAGCCATTTCCCCAAAAGAGCCAAATTCCTTTTCCTGATGTTCCCAAGCCCCAAGCACCTAGATTTTTACTTCTGGTCACCACCTCCCAACTCACCCTATGGTCCCTTTTATCCTCCCCCGACTCCCATAGGAACTCTCTCATCATCTTCTCCAATTTGTTGGATACCTTTGCTGGGATTTTGAACACTAAAAGGAAATAAATGGGTAAGTTAGCTAAAGTAGCCTTAATCAGTAATCATCCCTCCAAGGGAAAGGTAATTCTTCTTCCAAGAGGCAAGTCTCTTTTCAAATCTTTTTTATGATCAATGTCTCTTTTCAAATCTTTCCACCATCGAATTCCAGAAACTCTCTTTCTTTGGGTTGTCATCCATGGGCATCCCTAGGTAATTCAATGGCCATCCTGAAACTTCACAACCCAACAATTCTGCGCTTTCCCTGATCTCACACTCCTCCAAATTCACACCCACTACACAACTTTTCTCAAAATTCACCTTTAGGTTGGACATTTGTTCAAAAAGTTGTATCACCAACTTCATGTTCCTGATGTACAACCTCTTAGCTTCACCTCCTTTGAGTTCTTCCCCTTCTGAATGCTTTCTTCCCCCCTTACACCCTCCTCCTCTCCTTCCTCTAACCCAACCTTCTTTCTCCCTTTTTTTGATAAATGAGTGAGATTTTATTAAAAAGCAAATAACAGTTACGTGCAACCCGTGGAAAGGCATGAGATGCGACCTTTCCTTTGTAAGTAAACCATATTCAATTCTAGGTTGAAGTAGAGAAGAGAGGAAAGAGAAAGAAGAAGAAGAAGAAGAAGAAGAGAAGAGTTCGGCCAGACTAGAAGAGAGGAAAAATCACCTCTCCCTAGCCGACCCACTTGTATTTATTCCAAATAATAGAGTTACAAGAAAGACCATATTGTCCCTCATAAGAGATGGGACACATAACTTAAACTTAGATAAAATAGACCTTT